ATAAGAGTGTACAGCTGCTGGTGTATGCCGATGATATTGATATCATAGTTCCGCTTTCTTCAAGGACGCAACACATATGGGTCTGGCAGTGAACGAAGGCAAGGCGAAATATCTACTGTCATCAAACAAACAGTCGTCGCACTCGCGACTTGTCACTCATGTCACTGCTGACAGTCATAACTTTGAAGTCGTAGATAATTTCGTCTATCTTGGAACCAGCGTAAACACCACCGACAACGTCAGCCTAGAAATCCAACGCAGGATAACTCTTGCCAACAGGTGCTACTTCGGACTGAGTAGGCAATTGAGAAGCAAGGTCCTCTCTCGACAAACAAAAACCAAACTCTATAAGTCACTCATAATTCCCGTTCTGCTATCATGCCTCTGCACCATGAGGCTTGGACGACGTCAACAACGGATGAGTCGACGTTGCGAGTTTTCGAGAGAAAAGTTCTGCGAACGATTTGTGGTCCCTTGCACGTTGGCCAAGGCGAATATCGCATCCGATGGAACGATGAGCTTTACGAGATATTCGACGACATTGACATAGTTCAGCAAATTAAAAGACAGCGGCTGCGCTGGCTAGGTCATGTTGTCCGGATGGTCGAAAACTGTCCAGCTCTGAAAGTATTCGACACAGTACCCGCGAGGGGAAGCAGAGGAAGAGAAACACCTCCACTCCGTTGGAAGGACCAAGTGGAGAAGGACCTGGCATCACTTGGAATATCTAATTGACGCCACGTAGCGAAACCTATTGTTCATACCTTTATTTACAATATTAAATACTTCCATTATTCGTCTTATCTTTTGTTTTTAATTGTTTTAATTTTTTGTTTTAAAGCCTCATTGAAAACCAATAAAATATTTTGCTCTATGTTAAACAGTTATTCTTGCAGAGTACAGCTGGAACAAAACAAAAATAACAGCAGATTAAAAAAGTTTGAGCTATTATGAGACAGTGTTGGCATATTTTTAGCGAAAACTTTAACATTATTGTTTTTTAGTTTTGGCCTATGGGGGCGACCACAGTGCACTGGCTAGGTCATGTCATCCGAATGGACGGAAACACTCCAGCTCTGAAAGTATTCGGAATTRGAAGACTTCCACCGTGCGTCGGAAAGTCCAGGTGGAGAAGGACGTGGGTACACTTTACCTTATATGTACCAAACAACGAAAAGTAAAACCGACCGCCGGCAGTTGTAAACTCGGCTATAACCACGTAAGCCGTGTCTACGCCAAAAATAAGAGGTGTTCGAGATATGGCAAGAGAGATCGGCATCTCTCGCATAAAAGTGGCGTAAACAGGTTCAATAATCATCGGAATGGAGGGCAAAAAAGGTCGAAACCAAACTGCTCAAAAATTAAGGTGACGCTCATTTCATGAATTTGTTCTGGACGGACAGACGGTCGATAAGAATTTCTTTCTGATCGTATCGATACGTGAGAATATTCGTCGAAAACGACTGGAATTGTGGAAGATGGGTATTACCCATAATGCACCATCGCATCGAGGCTCGATTGTGGCCGAATTCAAAGCCAAAAACGCAATGAGTACCATCGATCAACCATTGTATTCACCAGATTTGGCTCCGTGTGATTTTTTTCTGATCCTCAAACTGAAATTGCCGCTCTGTGGAATCCGTTTGCAGTCGACCGAAGAGATAAGACAATATTCGCTGAAGCAGCTTAAGGCCTTCCCAAAAAGAACTTATGAAAAGTGCTACGAATGCAAAAAAATCGTTGGCATAAGTGTATTATATTTTAAAGTAATTAAATATTTTGAATTTTATTTGCAATTTCTGGGAACTTTTTCTAATTCGACATAGAAATTTTGTCAAATTTGTTTGTTGTTCTTTTTTTTATTACTATTTTGTCAGAACTCAATTTTTATCTGAAAACTCGCATTTCAGCGAAGCCGGTTTAATGCTTAATTTCTGACCCCTCCTTACCAACGATCCTTCCACTCTTTCGTTGTAATGTTCAAAAGCAAAAGTAGATATTACAAAATATTGTTTACGCGGGTCAAGGTGAAGGAGGCGTCAGCGTACGTATATTTAAAAAATCCGATAACCACACTTTCTGGCCCACCCTGAAGGTCGTCCTATAATTACAATTGAAATCGGTCCACTGCGGAGGCTATGATAAAATGTCTATTTTTCTTATATAGATTGCTCAAATTAAATTCTCGAGTGTACCTGAGCAATGTCAATCCGTACACTTACCCTAATATATTCCATATAATGATATTCGCCTTTCCCTGTATTTAAACCGTTCTAGTTGGTCAAAATGCGTGGTTTTAAAAATTGTGGAGATTCGCGCTGAATAATAAAGGAATTGGTCGACACCTTGGTCTAACCCTCATATCCCTAATACGAATTACGATAAAGTTTTTCTAGCACCTGAAAGAATTTCGCCCGCTTAGATTCCTCCAAGTTGCAAAGTATAAAATGTTTGGTTACACCCGAACTTTAGTAGGACTCGAAATGTAAATTGTAGTACTACAAATATAAATTTAATTTAAGTTGGTGACAATGCTGATATTAATTCCGTTCCCTAGTGAAGTTCGTTCAAATTTACATTGGTTTAAATATGGTACCGATTAATTTTGACTCTTTTCATATTGGTTCTATAAACTAGATTTGTAGGTATTGTTTAGCTTAGCAAATTGCTGCTGAATTTTCAATGCCAAAAAAAATTTCCTTCACTGCAAGTTGCCATAAGGGTAAATTCTATTTTCCATTATTAACACAAAATTATCTTTTTAATTCATTATATGACGGTTTCTTATCAAATGCTGGAAATAAAAAGAAATGTCCAAAAAATTTTCCGACAATATTCGAAGCTACAATTCTGCCTATGCTAAGGTTGGTTCTAACACATTTGTAAGATTAATTTATCGTTTCGCAGCATATTTTATCATACTGCAGCAAACGCATATGGCCGTACGCCAAAGTATAAATGCAGTTGCTTTATCTTGCTGAACCAAACGCTGTTGAAAGATATATGTCTTCAGCGCAGTTCTGGGTATAAAAACTCAAAAACACCTTCCTTAAATAACGGTGCCCATTGACAGTTTTCTTCATAAAAGTATGGCCTCGTTTTGGATGCAGTTCCGTCCGCGGATTATTTCGAGATTTCATTAACTCCATTAACAGACATTATGCTTATTTACATTTTCGTTCAAATCCAAATGGGCCTCATCAGACAGAAATAGTCAATTTATCAACTTATTGTCTTCTTTGGCGGTTTATTTTTGGCAAAATTTCAGGAGAATAGGAAATTTGAGAGAGTTTAACAGGGTTTGTTATTTCAACTATGTGCGGAAACAAGTTTAAGAAGTTTTTATGTTGCAAGTGGAAACTCTTGAATTTGTCTGAATAGACGAGGCAACCACCGCGTTTGTTTCTTAAGCCCGAACATACATAGGTTGTTCACGGTAAGGTGGTTATCTGGTTATGTGGTTATTAGATTAAAAATAACCTCTATGTGCCGTGAACATGCCATATTGTATGGTTATTTGCTTATTTTTACGCAAACAGCTGTTCATTGTTTACAATTTTAGTTCAATGAAATTCCTACTTATAAAATGCCTAAACAAAGTTTAAAAATCAATATAATTGAATTTAAAATAAGTTCTGCTATTCAGGAAATGGACTTTATTGAAGGTATGAGCTTATTAAATAACCCGAACTTGGATGAAGTACTAAATGAACTGCTAGAGGATATAACATTAATCATCTGAAGTAGACGGGGAGATGAACTACATGTTCCGAAATCTATTCATTGGCGAGAAAATGTTCTGTGTTGCTTTGCCGATGGAAGATTTTTACAAATGCTGCGCGTCAGCAAATGCCAATTCGCTTATCTTCTAGAAATATTTTCTAATGATATGAACTTTACTAATTCAAGTTTACAAATACCTGTAGATTTGCAACTCGCAATCGTATTGCTCCGATTAGGTTCATCGGGTGAAAGTGCTTCTGTACGTAATATCGCTACAACTTTTGGTGTGGGAGATGGAGGTACATTAACCAATATCACCAAAAGAGTTTTTTCGGCAATTTTGAATAAACTACCTGCCTGGACCGGCAGAGCGCCGGGAACTTGTTTTCCAAACATTCTGCCAATTACCATATTGCATTGGTTACATTGACGGTAGCGAGATTAAACTGGCCGAAAAGCCGAACAAAAATCATGAGGTGTATTTTTCTCGGCAACGAATATACTCTATCAAATTGCAAGTCGTATGTGACCATAAGTTACGCGTATTACATGCAAAAGTGGGCAATCCCGGAAGCTACCACGATTCTAAAGTGTTTAGGAAATCTCATATTGGAAGAAACACAACTASCTTATTTAGTGGAGAAGAGTGGATTGCAGGTGATTCTGCGYAYAAGTTGACAAAACATTTAATAACACCATACCGAAGCAATTCTTCTTTAGCAGACTCTGAAAGACTAGCTAAATTCAACAAAGTACATAGCCAGTATCGGGTTAGAGTCGAAAATTGTTTCGGGATTCTTAAAGAAAAGTTTTGTAGTTTGAAACAAATGCGGATAAAAATAAAAGACCGAGAGAGTCAAAAAATTTTTAATAAATGGGTACTTGTCTGCTGTGTGCTGCATAACATAAGGGAAGGAAGGGCGAGATTCTTCACTCTTTAAAAGGCAAAGTGTCGAAGCCCATGAATGCCAATGTGATGGAAATGCAATGGTTGCACCTACCCCCGAACTAAAAAGACAAGCACTATACAATTTAATTTTTAAATAAAAATTCATATTTTTGTTTTAATAACAAGCAACTGAAAATTATTTACATATTTGTTTATTTGTTATTATATTTATTATTATTATTATTACTTTTATATTTCATTTCTATTTCCAACACCATTTTTTTGAGTTGGAAATCGTTTCTTTTTCTTTTCATTTTCATGCTTGTTTGCTTCAACTTCCTTCGTTAAATTGAATTTTTCAATTTCAAATTGAAGCTGTTTTTCGCGAAAGCTCATTCGTTCAGCTTCTAACGTAGCCAGTTTATCCCTGGCAGTGTTTTGTTGTTTGGCCTTAATTTTTTTTGTAAAAACCTGGCCGCAGGTGAGCCAGATGCCAACTCAGAAATGTCGCGTTCTTCCTCCGCTTCGGGGTCTTCTAAATTATCCACAACATTTTCCACAGGGTCGAGTTCCATTGCAGAGGAGCTCATTACCACCACCTCAGCTTCCCTCTCCGTAGCAAAAATGTCCGCTAAATGTTTGTAATGCGGACAACTGTTAAGCACTTTATCTGTAATAAAGCAAATCATTGATTACAATTTAATGCCAAAGATGATATTAAAATATATATAAAATGTACCCATAACAGTCAGCTCTACATCGCCATCCTCTACTCCAGAGCCCGTGGAATTTAGCCAGTGTTCTGCCGATTTCATTTGGTTTTTTAGATACCGAACCTTGCATTTTAAAATGTTGAATGTCGCTTCAATTTTTGTTTCTGCAAGCAACTTACTATAATAGGTTTTCGCTTTTGGTTTCTGAAATTAAAGGAGATGTAATTATATTAAAATAAATAAGTAATGTGTCAAAAATTCGCCTCGATGTTTCGGTGTTCCTCCATATAGCACAGCACTGTTCTGATTTCGGCTTCCGTCCATTTTTTCACCTCGTTTTCTCGCCGGCGCTTTCGTATTTCTGTAGACACTAAAATTGAAGTATAAATAAATGACAAAAAAATTTATATTTATTTTGTACTTTGTGATTTTTACTTACTTTGATGATTTTTGATAATTTTTGATGGTTTTTGATGTTTTTTATTTCGCTTTTAATTTGCTGATTGTAAACAAAAAACAGCTGTTAATAGCAGAATTTCCAATAAGAAAATCTAAAAGGAAATGCCATTCGCTTAGTTTTATTTATTATTTGTGCTGCCATTTAGTAAAACTCCAACGACTCACTGGAAATAAGCAAAGAACCACATAATCTGTAAACAATGGTCTGGGTTGGTCAAAGTTGGTTATTTTGTCATACCGCATTTTGTTGTTGTTTACTTAATCACATAACCACATAACCCGATAACCTTATCGTGAACAGCCTAACAGATATCGATGACGCAGTCTTCTTGCGATACTTCCCGATTTGGCAATCATGTTCACCAACTTCATAATGGTCCATTTACTAGGGCGAGTATTCATTTGCAAAAAAAAATCTAAATTCTAACCCGTCAAACCAAAAAAGAAAGTCGATTACTCAAACACAAAAAAGTTATTAGGTTTTGTTTTTGAAGCACGATTCGTTCGTCATCTTTTACGAAGTTATAATGATGCAACTCAAACTGATGTTTGATGTCGATTGTCCAGTGAGAATTTCATGATCTGAAGAACACAATGCTCGCGACAGACTGCAGCAGCACGACAGTGAACTGGAAACGGCGTTGTAAATCCTACTACTTGAACGTTTGTGAGAGGGCAGCAACATAACAATGGCCGGCATGTTCACAAAACAACGCAGTTGTCCATTTTGCATGTACACAATTTCGTTGTGGCCATACTAATACCTTCAACTTCAATGAAATTTTAATAYTTTATTCAAAGTGAAATTTTTAAGCAAAAGATAAGTGAATAGGTAAATTTATTTATTTTAAATTATCAATTGTCATTATAAATGATGAAACAGAGCTATTTTATGCTTTTATTTGTAAAATAACGTCAAGTTTGTTAGAGCTGTGAATAATTTTACATTTTTCATATTAGTGGCATTACCACTTTACATCTTCTGTCTATCTTCCATTCTACTGTCAACTCTACTGTCGTCCTACTGTCGTTGGCAAATATAGGATCAAATTGAAGTTAGGGAGAACGACAACTGTCGGTCTGCCGTCGTGTAGTCGTGCAGCTATCAAAATAGGTCCGTCCATAAGAATGTGTGTATTTTAATATTTGACAGATGTCGTTTGCAGTCTGCCGCGAGCAATGTACTCCACACATGACATTTCATAGATTGGAAATAAAGTTATTGCATTTTAGGTGTTAGTAAGTTTGTGTTATCGGTGCTAATATGAGCTTTGAACAAAAAGCCAACATTAAATTCTGTTTTAATATTGGTAAAACTTTTACCGAAACATTTCAATTGATGAAACAAGTGTATGGCGATGATTGTTTATCCCGTAGCAGAGCCATGAGTGGTTTCAACGTTTTCAAAGTGCAAAGTGGTTGTGAAGACATAAATGATGATCAACATGTGAAATCATTATTGAATTTCATGGAAATGGATGGATTATAATCCCGTTGATGCACTTTCTCCTTTCTCGAAGTTCGTACTAAGCCATTAGGTTGAAATTTGTATTTGTCGACGATCTTAGATTTCGAACGGTGCTGGTGTCTCAAAAAGTTGAGTTAACATGGTACGAACTGAACGACCATGGAGAAGTTCAGCAGGCGTTTTACCATTGGAATTAGTAGTAAAACGATAAGTGGCTAAAAATTTGACTACCACGTATCTAATGGTAGACCTTCGTTGATATTTTTTCGAACTGCGGTCCGTTAAATGCTGGCAGAGACGGTGCAGTTGTTATGTGCACAATACCTTGTAACTTGCAAAATTGTTGAAATGCATCTGATGTTATCTGAGGTCCATTATCACTAACCAGTGTATTGGGAAAGGGGATTGTTTAGTATCGCGCCGGTTAAGTATCGTTTATGGAGAAAAACAGGGTCGTTCAAAAATGTATGAAAATGTATCCATAATTGGTTTGGTACAATSCMSAACAGATGAAAATACACTAGCATATATTTAGAAATTTGCAAAAAATAGCATTTTTTAAAGTGAATTTCTGGAAAAATTTGTGAACCGATTTTTATAAAATATGTTTTAAAACAAAGTTCGATAATTTAAGCATACATGCGTGTTTAAAATTTTCCATTTGATTCTCTCGTTTAGGTGCGGTGAGCCAAAATTAACTGGCGCGATACTAAACACAACCCTTGGGAAAACCTTCTATGGCAAAAATTGATTTTAAAGAATGTATAGTATTATCTGTTGTAATTGACGATAACTCAGTTAGGAATGGAAATTGCGAATAAGCGTCTATGCATATAAGCAACATAGAATCGATTATAGGACCAGCGAAGTCGATATGAACGCGTTCCCATGGCGCTTTCGCTTCTGGCCCACTAAGGTATTGATGTGTAGGAGCTGGATTGCCAACTTTACAAATTTCACATTGAAGTGTCACTTTGGCTATGTCGTCATCGATGTTTGGCCACCAAACGTAATGTCGATCTAATTGAATTCTTACATAGAATATTTTGGTGAAGAGGCGATAGTTGTGTAAACCAACCTGCTTTAACAAAATGTTTAACTTTACGTATTATTTCGTCTCGTTCTGTGTGCTTATTAATAATATTAGCATTTATTGGTAATTGTATGTGTGTAACATTGTAGCAGGATGTATCAAATTGAATATGGGTACCTATATTGTGCGTGTATTACGATACTTGATATCGAATTGATATGCCATAAGTATGGTGGCTCAACGCTGAATGCGATGCTAATCATTTGAGGTAGATACTTGTGTGGATTAAAAATATTTATGAGAGGTTTATGGTCAGTGATTAGCAAAAACTTATAAGTATTGGTGGAACTTCTTAACTCCGAACACTATTGCTAAACCTTCTTTTTCAATTTGACTATATTTGAGTTGATGTTTATCTGTGGTTTTAGATGCAACTGCTATTGGACGTTCATTTCCGTCAGGATAAATGTGCGAGAAAACGGCGCCAATGCCAAAAGATGAGGCGTAGGTTGCTATCGTAATTGTTCATTGAAACGTGCTAACTGCGTAGCATTAACTATACTATATGAAATTTAAGAGCTTTAAAAGCTTGTTGCTGCTCTGAGCCCCATGTAAAATGTACATTTTTGCTTATTTAGTGGAGCGGCTAACTGAGAAAAGTTCGGAATAAAATTGCAATATTAATTCATTTTACCCATAAAAGCTTCAGTTGCTTTCAGTTGCTTAAATGTTTGAATAGTCTGGAAGGTTTCCTTTAGCACTTACTCTTCTACCCAAGTACTCAATTTTTTCCTTCAAAAAGAAAATTTTTCCTTTGCACTTGATACCGTTGTCTTCGAAAACTTTGCTTACTTCCTCTACTAAGTCGTTGATACTAGAACAATCCTAAAGGTGTATTGGCTACCATTACTTGTTTGGAATCTTTATCCAACTCCATCTGTAACTAAGCATCTTTTAAATCTAATTTCGATAAATTTGTACCGTGTCGAATAATATGTAATAGCGACATTTGTCTTAGCAATGGATATTGCTCAATATCTAATAAGGGCAACTTAGGATCTGTTGCAAATGGTCTTGCATCTTTGCAATTGTCAATTAGCGAGCATATTTTTGCTTTTACACTAACAAAATGTATAGCGATGCATCTGCTACACCCTTGCAAATAAGCAACACTAAAACGCCATTGTATTATTTGCAACAAAGGTTTGACCTTTTTAGGTCTTAATGAATAAATATGTTTAATAATTTTCCATTGAAAATAATACTATGATGCTTCACATTACAAAACGTTTCATCAAATACATTTAAATTTCATTGTTTTACATTTCTTGTAAGTGGTATTGAACAATGCAACAAATCCATCCCTTTACATATTGGTTTAATTTAAATCTGGCCATCGCTCGTTTCCAAGTTGGAAATCTCTTTATCTCTGCCATTCACGGTGCGTTTGCATATGCTTCATTTCTCKTTTAAAAAATTCATAATGAGCAGCGACTGCACGACGTTTCGACTGGAAATATTCCGCTAATTTGTCTGTCAACTGAGCAGAGCTTTAGAAGTTCGAAAAATTCCATACCGACCCATGATAGAAACGACGATTTTTGCTTGTCTGGATAGGCCATAAATTGTTGAGAAAGTTGCTTCAGGTAGGATCCCCAATTCTGATGGTCTTTATTAAATGCATGGCACGATTCTGATTACTTTGGCGGAAGGGTAAGAAATCCGAATTTCCTAATAATTCGGGTATGTCCGGATAGGGGAGCTTCTCCAGAGGAGGAATATCCAAAAGTAATATAAAAATTACTTATATTATTTAAAATTTTCACGATAAAAAGTTCAAAAATATGCACTAATAACACAAGGTATTTCTTTATCTTCCATTAAATTTATTCAAGTTTTTCACTCTGACACATATTTAAATATACACTCTAAACATTGAAATAAGTTCACATTTCAATTTTATTTTGTAATATTTCACCTAAATTTATTAATTTAAAAATCACTTAGCGAACTCGGCGTTGCAAAGGTTAAATTGTTTACAATTATGAGGAAAACGAGCGTTGCCACATCTTAACCACCAAATATGTAGGATTCTTAAGGATT